CAGCCTCTTTCTTTTTTGCTTTTGCTTTTGGTGTGTCATCTATGAGTAACGTTTCAAGTGGTAATGAGTCTGGTAATATATAATACCTTATATTATTGCCTCGTAAACTTAATGTATCTAATTGTACAGGATCCCTATTTTTTATTGTCATTTTTACAGTCTTCAAATGCGTGTTCATTGCCACGTCTACTCCTACAAATGAACATTAAACACATAATCTTATATTTTAAGAAAAATATAAACACAAATTTTTTATAGGTTATGCTGACTTACCGGTAATAGTACCATGTACTTGAGTACCATTCTTAATTCTATCGTTACAGTCTCATGACTGAGTTTCATTAAAAATCTGAAATTTTATGGCAATTATTTCATTTCACTTTGTAAGAAAAAATTTTGACATCACATAATATAATATTAATCGCAATTTTTATAAATTTGATTAATTTTTCATAAAATTTGAATTTCACATAAATATTTATTATTTCTTAATAAATTATTATAAATAAATTAATTTACGTACCTTACTAGTTTCATGATAATGCTGAATGTTTTTACGTTATCAAAAAATTACAATTTCAGTTTCATGCCGCGTTTTCTTACAAGTATACAAAACGCTATATATATTGTGTATATATATAAAACTGTGTTCCAAAACTCTTTCATTTTATCTCATAAAATCACATAAGTAATATTTTTATTATTATTTAAATAATCCTGGTTATATATCTCAAATAAAATTAATTATTTAGTAAAATAATTTGAGAATAATAATAAAAATAGAATATTTATTAAATAAATAAAAATAATAAATTATATAAAGAAAAAATTCATTTGATATATTTAAATATTATTACATAATACAGAAATAATATAATTTTAATGTAATATTAAATAATATTTTTGATTACATACATATTAATAACTTAAGTAACAAGATTTAAATGTAAAATTATGAAATTATATAATAATAACATTTTGACAAAGTGAAATAACAAATTCTAAACTATTTGATATTATTTGATATTTAGGTTAAAAAAAAGATAAAATCATTTTTCATGATGTTTCTGATAATATTTTTGAACACGCTTGAAATACAATAATAATAGCATATTTAAAAAAGTATATTGATAATGAAGTTTTTATAATTGAAAAAAAAATTCAAATATTTTATATTTTATCAAAAATATTCTTATGAATTTTAATAATTAAAAAAAATTATTAATTAATTAATAATTTAAAAAATAATTTAAACAGTTTATTATGTACATATATTATTGTCAAAATAATAGAGAGCAGAAATAAAATAATAAATAACATTAAGATAAATGATACTTTTTTTATTATTATATATAAATATAATATCTTTCAATTATTTCAAATTTATTTTTATTTTTTGTAATATTATATACATGTTTATAATAAATAAGACAAAAGAATTAAGTAAAAAATGTATATTTAATATCTGATCTTAGCATTAATTATAAATTAAATTACTGTACATGATTTACTTGCTTTTGAATTAATTAATTTTAAAATAGTTTTCATTCTTCCTTCTGATCCTATATCATATGTTTCTGGAAATAATGTTCCCTCAGGTCTGCTATATATATTTTGTAAACACTGTTCCCACTTGACTGGTGAGACAATTTGTTTTAATATATATTTTTTCACATATCGTAAATTATTATAAGGCAAACCTTTATAATTGGAATATACTTTACATCTAGGTTCATTTATTTCTATGGAACTTAATACTTTAAAAACTGATTTTATAGCAGGTTCCATCAATGGTGTATGAAAAGCTCCAGATACAGGTAATCTAGATACATTATTTAAATTAAATTGTATTTTATTCTTTTCAATATATTCTAATGTTTCTATGTTTCCTGCTATTATTTTTCTTTCTGTACATAAAAAAATAGCAATTCTAAAAACAGTTAATTATATAATTAATTTTATATAAATGATATAATTATTAAATATTATAGTTTGAATTTAAAACATTACCTGCATATTGGATTTTCAATACCCATGTTCATTGCCCACTGCTTTGCCTCTTGACAAACTTGTGAAAGTTTTGTTTTTGGTGTACAAACGACAGATAACATTCCTTGAGGTACTTTATCTGCAGCATATTGCATAGCTTTTCCTCTAGTCCATGCTAATCGTATTCCATCTTCAAAAGTTATTACACCAGAGAGAATTAAAGCAGTTATCTCTCCTACACTATATCCAGCTGTAGCAACACAAGTTTCAAATACTTTAGGTTTTTCTGCTTTAATTTTTTCCAATGCAGCTAAAGATGATATTACTGTAGCAGCTTGATTAAATTCAGTTCTATTTAATTTTTCTTGTGGACCATCCAAACAAAGTTTCAATAAATTATAATTGACTATTTCATTGGCTATTTCAAAAAGTTCCTTAGCACCACAATAATTCAAATATTTTTTAATCATACCAACTTTGATAGTTCCTTGACCAGGAAATAATAAAACAGAAGTAGTTTTTGGATTAATACTTGGTTTTATTCTTTTTTAATGAAATATCCTTAGGATATGGAGTTGTCATCCAATTTTTATCTTTAGCATCTTCAAATGTTGCAGATTCTTCAAGTAAACGCAATACTTCTTGTTTCTTATATGAATTTTGCAAGGGGCCTTTTTCAAATGCATTTATCTTTGGTTCACAGTTATTATTCCCATCTTTTATTGAATCTGAATTTGAAATCTGATTTATTCGATTTAACCAATAATATTTTGGTACATAAGGAAATATTTTTTTAAATAATAATTGCTGAAACATCCTAATTAATTAATTTTAATATGTATTAAATATTTACAAAATTATATATTTAAAAAAATATATATTAAAAAACTTTTATTGAAAATTAATTTTATCACAAAAAATATATAATATAAGATTTATAATCTAATAACAATTTATATATCATCATATAAAATATAATCATTTATTTCAATTAATAATAATTTTTTAAACATATATAAGGTTAACTTATATTATTCATTACAGTTTATTAATATGAAACTTAAATGAATGATAGCTTTAAATAATAAATAAATGATAAAAACTTATCCTGATTTTAAGATTTTATTAGCCAATAGTTAAAATCTTAGCATCTACCATGTGATTTGATTTGTTTGTTCCTTATGATTTAGTGAAAAAAAAATATATATATATATAATTAATAATATATAGTATACATATAAATATATGTATATATATATGTAAATGAAATGAATATGTTTTAAGAATATATATTGAAAATATTTAAATAAAAATTAAAATTATAAATTTAATTTGTATTTAATATTGTTTTATTTTAAAAAAAATTTATATTATGTCATATCAATAAAGTCAAACTAAATTTAGTAATCAATTTAAGTTGTTAGCCCTGTTCACATATAGTTTCGACAGTTTGTAACTGTGTGAATCTGCAGTATATAAATTGTGCAAGCAACAATAATTGTGACAGCATATTTTGTTGTAGTAGTTATTTTTAGTTTATTTTAAATAATTATTATAAAAATTAATGAATTTAAAAAAATTATTTAATGAATTTATACAAACTATAACGACACATAACATTTATATGTTAGGAGTTGTTTAAGTTACCATGAACTAATTTCTAAAATATATCGTATAAGTAATTTCCACATGTTTTTTTTGTTTATCAAACTATTAAGTAATAAAACTTATAAATATTGACAATTGCATTTAATGTAGTTAGGAAATAAATCAAGATGAGTAAAAAACGTAATCGACAACCTGATGCAAATGGAGAATTAAGTGAAGGTTCAACTGATTCTTGTGACGAATCAAATACTACAGGTTAGAATTAATTTTCTTAAGATATTTTAATTTTGAAGTTTTATTTATTTTTTTATATTAAAACTATATATTTTTTAAATAATTAGATCATAATATTTTATTTTATTAATTTATATTTTAAAAAATTAATCAATAAATTACAGTACAGTTAAATTTTGGAGTGATTTAATATAATAATAGTCAAATATTAAATTTATAATTAAATTATAACTAAATTATTAATTATAAATTTAGTAGTTTGTATAAATGATTTAATATCTAGTTTTAGTTTTTGAAGTTCATTAACTCATGAAATTAAAATTAATAATAAAAATTAAAAATAATTTAAATTAATTATTGACAAAATTATTGAAGAATAAAAAGAAAAAAAAATAATTTTTTTTATATAATTTTTTATTAAATTATTGATTTCTTTTTTATAATATTTATATTATAAATAATGATTATAAATGTTATTATTTATAGGTATTAAATGTCCTCATATTCCTAAGGCAGTGAATTTTAATAAAATTAAGAAATGTATTAATAAAATGGGAATTAGTATAGAATGTTCAATATGTAAAAAATGTAAGAATAATTTATCAAAAACTAATGAAAAGGTATAAATTCAAATAATTAAAATCAATTAGATTTTTAATTTAATTAAATAATAATCTAAAAGAATATTATTCAGACAAAAATATTTTAGGAATGTGTAATGAATTCAGCAATATTAATTTGTTTGCAATGTGGACATCAAGGTTGTGGAAGAGAAGAATGTGGACATGCTTTAGAACATTATAAAAAACCACATAGTGATTGTCACGTTATGGTTGTTGAAAGTCTTTATTGGAGTGTTTGGTGTTTTCAATGTGAAACAAAAGTTAATATTGGATGTAGGTATGTATATATATGGATGTAAATTTAAAATTATATTTAAATATATAAAATACAAAATACAAAGAATAAAAATTGATGAATAATTGATGATAAATATGAAATTTTGTATCTTGTAATTTTTGTAATGATTATTATTATTATATTATATTATAAAAATTCTGATTGTAAACTTAAAAAATTAATGTTAAATTTAATTGTCAATACAGTTAAAATATATTATGTTTTAAAGTGTAAATTATTAAATAATTACATAATTAGATATTTATTTTACTTCACATTTTAAAATTATTTAAAAAATTTTACTTACAATATTAAAAAAGAAAATAAAATAATAAAAATGTTTATTATAATTTAGAAATTAAATTAAATTAATCATTAAAAAAATATTATATATGTATTTTCTTTGATCAAATTTTCAAATTATTTAACAATTTATAATTTTTAGAAAGAAACTTCAAGAAACAGTGGAATTTATAAAAAGATCTACCACTTCTATCACTTCATCACAAATAAAAATGTCATTATCTCAAAAAGAAACTAGAACTGATACAGATAAGTTAGAAAAAGAAAAAAATTTATATAATTTGCCTAAAGTAGGGGTATGTACATTGATAATTTTACGTACTTTTTCCAATGAATTTATATAAAATAAATTAAATAGCTTTAAAATATATATTAATAAATATAAAAGAAATTAATATAAATAATTAAAATATCCAAATTTATTTTAGGGTTTGATGAATTTGGGAAATACTTGTTTTTTTAATGCAGTTTTACAATGTTTGGCGCAAACACCTTTCTTAGTAAAAGTTCTTGATGATTTGCGTCTTCCAGGACAAAAATTCATTTTACCAGGTGGTAAACATAAACTTTCCAGTAACTCTGAAGAAATTGATTTAGTAAGT